ATGAGGGCAATGAATGTACAAATGCGCTTTACACAATTGATGTGTGTATGGATTGTGATAAGAGTTGTATGAGCCCCTAATAAAATGATTTTAAAAAATGTACTGAAAATGATGACAAAAAAAGAAAATGATGATGACTTCAATTGTACAATTATGCTCTATTTAATGGAACTATGGATTGTAGTCATATCTGTAAGGGCTCCAAATGAAATGTTTTAAAAAAAAAGATTTAGTCTCAAAAACCTTTAGGGACAGTTCTCTGCCCTGGAGGGAGGGACAGGGGGAGTCGAAGGCCATGAATGGGGTTTTGGCTTTGGGATCTTTGCTCACTGGTCCATGGGTGGCACACAGGTCTGGTTTTGACTACTAAGTCCATTCCAACCGACCGCAGAACTTCTGCAGAAGCGAGGCCCCGGGTGATCGGCCTCCACAGAGATTGCACTCAAGGAGAGCCCAAGGGGCCGTTCTACCCTGTCACCCACGTGGTTGCCGTGAGTGGGCATGGACTGATGGCAGCAGGCTTGGCTTCTGGTTTCTCTGCTCCAGTCCAGTGCCTGTCACAGAGCGAGCCCTCAGGGGCCAAATCTAGTTCTTGAACTTCATACAGCAGCATTGGCAAGGAGCGTTGGTGGAGCACGTGGCTGCTAAGGGAAAGGTTGGTCTGTGAGAGCACTGGCCTGCCAATGGGCTCCTGCCAACATGACAGCCTAGAAACGCCCAGGGGACAGGAGGGGTGGGTCCAGAGGACAGGAGAGGAGCAGGTCCAAGGGGCAGGAGGGGTGAGTCCAGGGGACAGGAGGGGAGTGAGTCCAGGGGGCAGGAGGGGCGGGTCCAGGGGGCAGGGGTGGGTGGGTCCAGGGGAGAGGAGAGGCGGGCCCAGGGGGCAGGAGGGGTGGGTCCAGGGGGCTGAAATCACTCCTATAACAGCATTCAAGATGTTACATCACTCTGAGGCACTAGCAACAGCATTCCAGAAACCCAAGCTTGAGCATTACCTGTTTTTCTATAGCTTGCTTGCTTCAAGTTCTGTAAGTGAAGCTACAGGTTTATTTTTCACCTCTTGTAAGACACTCCTCAGACACACTCCTCCTGTCTGAATCTCCTGATCAGTCCCTGTAAGGCTGTCAGCTCACGGTTCACCTGCAGACAGCTCCCTCCAGCCTGGTCTGGTTTGGGCTAGAGCCGTGGTTCTCAACCTTCCTAATGCAGCGACCTTTCATATAGTTCCTCATGTTGTAGTGACCCCCCACCAAAAAATTATTGCTGTTGCTACTTCCTGACTGTAATTTGCTACTGTTATGAATCGGGCGACCCCTGTGAAAGGGTCGTTCAACCCCCAAAGGGGTCGTGACCCACAGGTTGAGAACCGCTGGGCTAGGGAGTGTGATGCAGGAAAAGGCAGGCAGAGGAGGCAGGGAAAAGGCTCCTCACCCAGGAGCAACTCCAACTTCCCTCCACCGCCTCTGAAAGAGATTGAACTTTCTTTGTGCTGCGTCTTTTGATTCCTTCCCTTCCCTGTCATCTTTCAGCCAGGAGTCTGCTTCCAGCAGGAGCTAAACACTTGACAAGCAGCATAGCAGGTGCAGCCTCCAGAGAATCTTACAAAGTAAGCGCTGCCATTTAGCTTCATAGAAGGAGAAACGGAGACCCAGAGAGCTAAAGAACTGGCCCCAGTCCCCACATCACCCGGAGTCTCATTCATTCGGCCATCCCTTACAACCAACCTGGGCTGAGGCCGTGGTGCCTGTGGAAGTCGTGCTGAGCGGTCCAGAGATTGGGCAGAGACTTGGAATATCTCAGGATGAGAAATGACGTGAGACAGCCCAGTGTCGTCCGGGATGTGCCCTTCACCCCTCCTGCCAGCCCCACCATCCACTGGTCACAGTCCAGATGACCGTTCAACCTTTGTAGGATGCTCACATACCTACCTCTGCAGGGTCCCTGGGGCTGGCCTGGGCTTCACACTTCTCCCCCAGGTACGGAGCCAGGTCCTCAGAGGACGTCCCCGAGCCTGGGCTCTTGGATGTCAGGTCCTCACACCTGTCCACTTGCTGCAGCTGCTCAAGAGAGAGAGAGACAGAAAGAGAGAAAGAGAGCGAGCCTGTTGGGTATTGGAACTCACACACAGCGGATGGTCTCTAAATTTAGAGAGATCTTGTACATCACTGAGAGGCAGAGCCAGGGACCTAATACGTACAACCCACACAGGCAACATATTTCTATGAGGTGAACCTGGAGACTCAGCCACCTTTTGATCATGTACATTTTCAAATGCTTTGCACAGTCCCTGATGGCCTTAAGCTGATATATATATATACCAGCCCTCATTTCCGTCTCCTCAGGGACTCACAGCACACACCCCAGCCAGCTCTACTCTGGGGTTGGCTTTTGGCTCCATGTCTTATAAGCCGGGGGCCTTACGCGGTTGTTTCTCCTCTCTGGTCCTCCTTTTCCCCTTCTGTAAAACTGAGAAGGCAGGACCGACTTCATTTGGCTGTTGGGAGGGTGTGGTTCATGCTCTGCACTGAGTGCTTGGCTCTATAGAAGTTAGCCATGACCATTACGATGTGTCCAAAGGTCAAAGTGATAGTGAACTTGGACTTCTGGAGCCTCCCAAGGAACCCCAAAGCCACGGAAAATGCCTCTGAGTGGTAGACAGCCACCAGTGAGTTCATGTCCTTTACTCTGGGCATGGTGACGCCCTCCCCTTGGCTGCCACCCAGACAAAGGAATGCAAAAGATGGCAGCTGATATAAGCAGCTGCTGGAACACAGACATGACAGCTGCAGGGAAGAGGCTATGGGTGAGTGTCAGACTCAGAGTACCACTGGCTAGGGCCACTTAGTGGCCTGGCCAGCAAGCAGTCTTGCCTGTCTCTGGGGTCCCACAGGGATCTCCCCATCCCCACCTCTGCAGAAGTGTATGTATGCTGTGAGTCCCCAAGGAGAGATGAATGAGGGCTGGTATATCAGCTTAAGGTGGTAAGGCACTGTGCAAAGCATTTGACAATATACGTGACCAAAGGGTTTCAATGCCCTTAAAATTAGTTCCCCTGGTGGTGTTGAGGTTATGTGTTGGGCTACTAACCTCAAGGTTGACAGTTCAAAACCACCAGCAGCTCTGAGGAACAAAGACTGGGCTTTCCAAATGTGGTGAAGAAAGCTGATGGTGCCTGGCTATCAAGGATTTATAGAGTCTGAGGGCATAAAGGCTTGAAGATAAACAAGCGGCCATCTAGCCGAGAAGCAACGAAGCCCACATGGAAGAAGCACACCAGCCGGTGTCATCATGAGGTGTCGATGGGATCAGGTTATCAGGCATCGAAAAACAAAATATCATATCACTGTGAACGAGGAGTGGGGGACGTGGAGTAGAGACACAAAGCCTATCTGTAGACAATTGGACATCCCATTACAGAAGGGTCACAGGAAGATACGAGCCAGTCAGGGTGCAGTATAGCACCCATGAAACATATAACTTTATTCTTTAATGCTCCTCCCACCACTATCATGACACCATTTCTACCATACAAATCTGGCTAGACCAGAGCATGTGCACTGGTCCAGATAAGAGCTTGAAACACAGGGAATCCAGAATAGATAAAGCCCTTAGGACCAATAATGAAAATAGCGATACCAGGAGAGTAAGGGGAAGGTAGGGGAGCAAGGGGGAACTGATCACAAGGATCTACATATAACCCCCTCCCAGGAGGATGAACAAAAGAGAAGTGGGTGAAGGGAGACAGTGGTCAATGTAAGACATGAAAAAAATAATAACATAAATTATCAGGGGTTCATCAGAGAGGGAGGGTAGGGGGAATGAGCTGATACCAAGGGCTCAAGTAGAAGGAACATGTTTTGAAAATGATGATGGCAACCTATGTACAAATGTGCTTGACACAACGGATGGATGGATGGATTGTGATAAGAGCTGTAAGAGTCCCCAATAAAATGATTTTAAAAAAAAGACTTGGCATTCTATTCCCATAAAGGTACTTAAAAATGTTCAGTGCCCAAAAGGGACACCTTTGATTTCTCTATGGCATCCGTTGTGGAGAAAGGCTGGATCGATGAATAATATAAACCTCAAGACTTCTCAGGGTGCGGGGGAATCACATGAACTTTGTTTTTGGACACAGTCCAGTTCTTAGAGGAATCCCACTAGCATCTCACACGTAGGGCCATGGCCGGGCCGAGAGTATGGGGCGGCTTCGAGAGAGAGAATCCCTAAGCATGCCCTAAAGGCCTGGGGTGCAACCTCTGCCCAGGGGTTCCTGTTGGTCTTGGGGTTTCTGACTTTTTCCTCCAGCGCCAGTTCAAAGTACACCTTCTCTAGAAGCTTGGCATTATTCAAGCTTCCTTACATCAATCAGGGTCATCTATGCCTGGCTTGCCAGGGGCTCTTCAAGGTTGTACGAACCCGATGTTGGAAACCCAAGTCACCAACATTTCCCTCCTGCCCCGGGTCACTGTAGCCCTAAGACAGTTCCAGGTTTCCCCTGTGGCTGAACCTCTTACCTCCTCCGTGGAGGCCTCTTCTTGTCTCGAGCTCCGAGCATCCTCTTCATTCTCATCTTCCAAATCATCGAGGTCAGATTCACCCTCGGCAATGGGGACCGAGACCCACACACTGGGGTTGGCTATGAAGTTGCTGAGCTCCTCCCCGGGGCCTCTGGGAGCTGGGGAGCCGGCAGGGCTCCCCATGGGGGCAGTGTCAGCAGCAATGTGGTTCTCAGCTTTGGGGCTCGACAGGGGGAGCTTCACCACGATCTGGGTCTCGGGCTTGGGCCGGGGGAGAAGGCAGGGCATGCGGAAGAAGTTGCAGAAGGCCTGCTTGGTGCGACTGCCGATGGCCTGGATCCGGGCCAGCGCCACTTGCAGGTTGTTCACCTCCCCGTCGTCCTCTGGGGCCGTGAGGTTGTCCGCACTGAAGGAGTTGAGCAGCAGGGCGATAAACAGGTTGAGCACCTGAAGGCGAGGAATTGAGAGGGAAGAGCGCTGTGGGGCTGAGCGCCACCCTAACCCATCAGATGGTGGTTCCTGAGCTCTCCCTTCTGGGGGGTAGAGTGAGTGGGGGTGGTGGGTGGACACAGACCTTCTTAAACCAGCTCAGGGAGCTTTGGGGACATCATGAGTGACCTGCCTGATCCCTCCTGTGGAGGATCACCCGGCTATCCCCCAGGACATTCAGGGCTGTCTGGGACCACCATCACTTGTCAACGCTCCGGTTTCTAGTCCTCATTCTGCAGTCCCCAGCAAGCACGCCTCCTCACTGTATCCATGGTCACGCTCTTCATCTGGAGGCAAGGGGTGGGGGCTTTCTACCTTTCGGAGTGGTCGTGAAGAGGAAACGACCTGGTGGATGCAAAAGCTTCCAGAGAGTCATTCAAACCAGCAAGACATTAAACTATCCTCCACTCCACCCCTCTGAAACAAGGGTTCAGAGAGGCAGGCTTGCCTCCTGAAAGTTGGGACCCCGTGTTAACACGAGTGTCAAGTTTACCTGGAAGAAAAGCAGAGTGAGGAGAGTCGAGTTTTCAATCGTTTCCCCTCACACCCCTGCCCCTTCCTCAGGGACTCTGGAGAGTAGGACTCGGAAGATTTGGCATTCATTAACTCATCCTCTTCCTTGGTTTAGCTTTCTTTGGTCAATGAAACGCTTCCAGGGAAAAGAACTGCCCCTGGGAGGTTACTTCCTGTTGGAATCTGTGGGCACCCTTCCCCCCCATCATCTTTCAAGTCACCCTGGTCAGAGTCATCTTTGCCAGTGGGCACCGGAGACCCGTTTGTTAGGGTTGGCAGAGAAGCTGGGATTTGCTCAGGAAGCTACTGAATGCATCTATGGGACCTCGGGGAGCTAGCCTCCCCCAGGGCTCCCATAGTTTGAAGTTGGTTGACTTCCAGGGCAAGAAGCAAGGCGATCCTGTAAGACCACATTGCACCACCCAGCCAGTCACTGCTGGGACGGCATGGATAGACAGGAGGAGAGCGGGCTAGAGGTGAGCTGTGGGTCAGATAGGGGGCTGTGGCAAATTTCCAGGAAGACCTTCGGAGGGATCCCCTAAACTTGGAGGTGGGGGGAGACGTTTAATACTATTACTATGTTTTTTGATGTTCATGACCTAGCTGCTTTTTGTGATCTTGTCCAACTATGCCTGTCCGTGTTCGGTGCTTGGTGAAGTCAGTCAGCACATGTTCTTTTCAGGAAAAATATCTCCGGTGACCGACTCCAGCAGGAATATAGATGTATATGTATATATATATATTACATAACAAATGGCTCTGGTGACCGACTCCAGCAGGAATATAGATGTATATGTATATATATATATTCCATAACAAATGGCTCTGGTGACCGACTCCAGCAGGAATATATATATATATATATATATACAATAACAAATGGCTTACCATGTAGTCAGTCTTTATGGTTCAGACACTGCACACCGCAGTAGACAATTGGCCTATGTCATATCCTGTCATTTCTTTCTTCCAGTAAGGCCCTGAGCAAGCACTGTTTGTTTTTTTTCTCCACCCACCTCCTTCTTGATTGTAAGGAAAGCAGAGCCCAGGGGGATGAAGTCTCTTGCCTAAGGCCACCCAGTAAATGGTACAATTGGGATTCCAAGGGTCCTCCCTTGTCCCTCAGACATACTTATCCTTGCAAGTCTAGCTTCCCCAGCCTCTCTTCGAAGGGACAGTTCTTAGAAGGTGTCCTATGTCACTTTGAAATGTTTGAAGACAGAAGATGAGGGAGGGATATTCAGAAACATGTGCAATGTGCAAGCTTCTCAGGACACCCCAGGAGCCACCTCCTTGCCCACAAGACAGTGCCTCCCCCGTGGGGATCACCACTCACCACCAGGTTCCCCAGCACCATCACCATCAAGAACAGGATGAGGCATACGGACTTCTGGCTGACTTCCATGCAGACCCACATGTTCTCGATCCACTCCCCGCAGAGGATGCGGAAGACGATGAGGAAAGAGTGGAAGAAGTCGTACATGTGCCAGCGGGGCCCGTCCTGAGGGGCAATAGAGATGTTGTACCGTTTCTCGTAGTGCTCCCCGAGGAGTTGCTTGCCAACCAGCGCGAAGACAAAGACAATGATGGCCAGGATCATGGTGAGGTTCCACAGCGCCCCCACCGAGTTGCCGATGATCTTAATGAGCGTGTTTAAGGTTGGCCAGGACTTGGCCAGCTTGAAGACCCGCAGCTGCAGAGAGACAGAAACTGTATTAGATCCTAGTCACTGTTCTCATCATGGTTTATCTGAAGTCCTGGCCAGAAACCAAGAGTTTGGGAAGAGAAGCTGCATTTTGAGGCCAGAAAATACCCTTTGTGTTCTGTGATTGCTAGTATAGATGTCTTCCCCTACCTGAGGCAAAGTCAGAGGGGGGATAGTGGGCTTACTCTATTCTACAACCACAGTTCTGGAGGTCAGAGAGGAAAACAACAGTGCTCCTACGGAGTTGGGGTGCGATGGGGTTTAGCTTCCCCAGCAAGTCTATGTTTGAAGACAGGGCGTTGCTCATCTTGAGTGAGTGGGCAACCTCTGTTGCACCTACCAACTCTGAAATTTCACGCGTCTGTGATTCTATGGACCCACCTGCGTATGTTCCTTTCATCAATCAACCAACCTCTTTCTCTTACTGCATACTGGTCATACATGTGCCTGTACCAGCCTCTGAGTTACATGGAGAGTGGGCCCCTGTCCTTGTGGATCGAGTGGTTTTGTTAAAGACACAAGACAAAACCCCACCGTGTCCTTATTGTAAACCTCAAAGTGTTACATCCCACAAGAAAGAAAGAAAAAGAGACAGAAGAAAAAAAGGTTGTGCTGTGGCGTAGGTTGTTAATTGTTGCTCGCTGCCGTCAAGTTGTCTCATGGCAAACAACACACAATGGGATGGCACTACAGGGAGCGATGGGCTTTTCAGGGGCTGATTATGGAAGATCTCCAGGCCATCCTCCTATTTGTCTTCATCTGGCAGCTGGGCTAAAACCTGCTCAGCTTCATAGCGGCGTGAGATCCTCCACTGACAGGTAGGTGGCGGAGGCACTGAGCGGCCACTAGCCAGGCATCAAACTTAGTTCTCCTACATGGAACTGGCAGTTTTTGACACTAAGTCACCACCGCCCCTTCAGTGGTGTGTTAAAATGTAGAAACATGTGAAAAAGGTGTCTGAGTGGTTCTCTAAAGAACGAGAAAGAAATATCTGACCGTAAAAAATTAGATGCTAGGATGCATGTTGGACAAACCAACTATGATAGTTTGTGTGTGTGTGTGTGTGTGTGTGTGTGTGTATGTGTGTGAACATGGCTCCTGTAGGAACATGTGGGTGGAGTTTAACCTGTCAATCAGGTCGCAGCTTGATTGGCAGGCAACTGAGATAAATGGCTCACTGGATGTTGCCCCACCCCTCTCCTTCCTGTTGACAAGCCACATGGAGCCATGCTGAGACCTGTGAGAGCCCTGGAGATGCTTCCATCGCCACTGGATCCACAACACTGCACTCACTGGACTGTGATCTTCATTTTTGCATCATTGCACGTGCTGCATGAGTCCGAAGAGGAATTCATGGACTGGTATCGAACTTATGAGCTAATATGGGATTTACAGACTTGAGCTGGACTGGGCTGGGATGTTTTCTTAATATGCAATTACTCTTTGATAGAAAGTTATTCCTTAGACCTCTGTGAGTGTCTCTGGATTTGTTACTCTAGTCAACCCATCTAGCACACCAACAGTCTTCTCACCCATGTGGCATTCCATGTGTGACTCCCAAGGGAGGAGGCTTAATCCTCTTACACAGGAGGTGACCCATGCCTTTCTCTATGTGACGGGGAGGCCATGTTCTCCTTAGACACACTCTGAAGTCACCCTCCTCGTAGAGTGAACAGAGTTGAAGCCACCAACTCATGGACACAGAAGCAGCTGAGAAACATAAATAAAAATTGAGTGCTACCACTGAGTCCCTTTGTAAAAAGTATTGGGAAAACGAAAGGTTTCCTTCCTTCGCATCATGATTGAGAAAAATCTCCATCCTCTCAGTAAACTCAAGACGATGACAAGACAGGGTTATGAGATCAGCTCTGACAGGGGCAAAAGCCACCCATCACACCACAGAGCCACCCGACACTGGAGAGGGGCATAGGGGGATTCTCACTGGCATTGATGCGAAAAGACCAGGTTACCACTGGTTCTCCATTGATTGAGGAGGATGTGGAAATGACATCCGAATTCTGTTAGATAAGTTATGGCTTACTGCTCACAACTAAGCTCATGCTAAAAGATAAGCAACTTAAATGTAATTTTTTTTCATGATGAGACATGAATCCAGTCATTCTCTCTTAATTCATTTGTTGTCTTTATCAAGGGGAAGAAACCAAGGTCCCTCTATTTATTACAGAGAACTATCTGGGTTTGAGGCTGCTCCTGTCACTGGCTAGTCAGTCAGCAGACATTGATAGAGTGCCTTCTGCTGGAGGTATAATGCCCAGCAGCCTGCCTGGCACCTACTGAGGCCTTGTATGAAGCATGCGGACACCAGCCCCACCTGGGCCCTGTTTCTTAAGCTCTCTACTGTACCCTACCCAGTTGCTCCCAATCTTTGCCCAGTTTAGCATTATATCAAAAGTATTTCTTCATATTAGTACATAATGCTTACCAATAATTACTTTTAGCTACTGGGGACTTTCTTTGCTTTTTAATACTTTTATTGGCATATAATTCACACAGAATATAATTGAATAGTTCAATTACATTATGAAGAATTGCCAATCATCACCACAATCAATTTTAGAACATTTTCTTCTTTCTCTTATTCATTATTGTTAGTTCCCCATTTCCTCCCAACCGCCCTGTCATGCCCCTCCACTTTACTAAACATGACGTCCTTTTCCAGGGACTAGTCCCACTTGACAACATGTTCAAAATATGGAAGACAGAGTCTCACCATCCTTGTCTCTAAAGAAGGAGCATTCTGGCCATACTTCTTCCAAGACAGATCAGTTTGTCCTCCGGGCACTCCAAGGTGCTTTCAGTATTCCTTGCCAGCACCACCGGTCAAACACATCGATTCTTCTTCCATCTTCCTTCTTCGATGCCCAATGTTCACACGCACTCCAGGCAACTGAAAATACCACGGCTCAGGTCCAGTTCACTGTTCAATGCCCCCAAGAGGTCTTTGCAGCAGAGTTATCTAATGTAATGTGTCTTGTCATTTGATCTCTTGACAGCTGCTTCCATGAACATTGATTGTGGAGCCACGCAAGATAAACTCCTTTACAATCTCACCCTTTCTCTATTCATCATGATCTTACGTATTGGTACAGTTGTGGGGATTTTGGTCTTGTTCACACTGAGTGGTAATCCATACTGAAGGCTGCGATCCTTGATCACATAGATATAATTGTTTGTTTTGAGTCTTCTGATACCTGACACCTGATCCTGTGGACACCTTGTGATCACGTAGGCTGCTGTGCTTTTTCCATGTGGGCTTTGTTGCTTCCCTGCTTGTGGTAGTTACGTAATCTCCTGTCAACTTATGAAGGGCTGGAGTCTAGCCTGTCAATCGGATCGCAGCTTGATGATCTCATTTGAAGATGCCACAGATATAAATAGCTCACTGGAAGTCAGATTTAGATACACTCTCTGCTTTGTATTCCTGATAACAAGACACATGGAGCTACGCTAGAGCCCCGAAGCTGGAGGAGCCACATGGAGACCCACGCCAGCGCTGATTTGCCACTGGATCCACAAGACTTTCCACCCACTGGCCTGTGATCTTTTTGCATTCTGCATCATTGCGTGTGTTGCATGAGGCTGAAGAGCAATTTTAGATTGGGCTAATATCAGACTTATGGACTTGATCTGGACTGGGCTGGGATGTTTTCTCAATATTCAATTGCTCTTTGACATAAAGCTTTTTCTTATACACATATGAGTGTTTATGAATTTGTTTCTCTTGTCAACCCAGACTAACACACTGCTAGGATAACCGCTTATTTATCTTCAAGCTTTTAAGACCCCAGACACTATCTCTTTTGATAGCCAGGCACCACCAGCTTTGTTCGCCACCTTTGCTTATGCACTCATTTTGTCTTCAGCAATCATGTCAGGAAGGTGAGCATCACAGAAGGGGCCTAAGGTAATTCTGTTGATAGTATCATCAATTTAGCCTAGTGGATAAAGTTTAAAACACTGCTGAGAAAAGGAAATTATACATGAATAAACTGGCTTTTCAGACCACAATACAGGAATTGTTGACTTGTACGGATGAAAAACTTCAGTGACTGGACATTATTTACCTGAACAATGAGGGCTGGGGATAGGACAAAACTTTCCAAAACATTCATTCACAAAGGCAGAAGCATGCCTGCCAGACTAGCATGTCATAAAAAAGCAAAGAGACCACGAGAATGGTAAATATATGTCAGTCTCAGGCCACCATTCATTGGACACCCTCCAAGCAAGTGATACAAACCAAAATCGAATGACCCCCAGTTCTAGATAACCTTGGGAGAGCTGTCATCTGCTTCTTCTTACACTAGGGCACTCCAGCCTTAAGTACAAGGGAGTATTTCAGTTCCTTAAATCTACTACAGGCGAGTTTAAGGCAAAGCCTAGTTTGCTTAATTGGGTTTCCCAATTAGATCTTTCTGACGTGACCTATGAATGATACTGTTTGCCAGAAAGGGCAGAGTCTGACATTCCAGCTGACTAGCATGTGGCCCGAGTCACCAAGGGCTGGATAAAGACTGGATCAAAAGCGTCCAGTTAGGAACAGAGCACCAAGTGCATTCTCCCTTTGGCATATTGTACTTATATACAATCTATATAAGTATGGTTCAGCACTTCCCCTAAGATTTCTCCTCATTTAATGAACAGTGTCTCTAGTTAAACTCAGAATTGATATTAAAAACCTCTATTTAGAATTGGGATCATGATGGTGGGGGTGTGTGTGAGGAAGCATTCAAGAACAAGAGGAAAGTTGTATGTTTCAGCATTGCTACCCTGCACCCTGACTGGCTCGTCTCCTCCCTGCGGTCCTTTTGCAAGGGGACATCCAATTGCCCACAGATGGGCCCTGTGTCCCCACTCCGCCCTCCCCCTCATTCACAATGTGATGATTTTTTTGGTCTTTGATGCCTGATACCGGATCCCTTCGATGCCTCGTGATCTCACAGGCTGGTATGCTTCTTCCATGTGGG